CATATAAAAAGTGTACGAACAATGTACATAAGTATATATAGAAATATGGGGGAAGACTGTCAGTCACACGCTCATAACTCCCAATTGTGCAGTTGTTGTTTTTTCTAAGGCCTGCCATTGTGATAAGGCATTAAAATGAATGTTGCTACAGGCAACCTGATAACACCTAACCACACGACCCCGCCCACTTGTTTTTCTTCTCGCCTCCGCTTTTCCTGTCCTTCGTCGCCATCTTGCCTCATGTGGCATACACTTATATGGTAGGTTGTAAAAAGAAAACCAAGGCCTGTTTCATACGTCACCCATGCGATAAGGAGAGAAAGTAAAGACGGGTCCAGAAAAAAGAGACTGGTTCACCTTGGAGCTACCCAGCGGCTATTAAAGCCACATAAATTATAATTTTGTTGCACTCCCCCATGCCCAGAAAATACACCCCATCCAAAAGTTTCTCCCAACCTCAGTTGGTCATAAATTCATATGGCTAGTTTTGTTGTTGTTTTTCGTGTGTTTTTTTGGGGGAGATTCTGTTACCTTCCCTATATCTATATGAGAGCACAAGTGAAATGAAAAGTTTGACAGCACCCCGAAAAAAAGCGAGATGAGATTTCTGATTTTTTGGCGGAACAGTGGAAGGAATTTGGACTGGACTAAATTAGAAAAAAGTATCCTTTAAAGAGAAATATGGGAGTACCATATAGTTTCATTCTTAAATTAAAACAAATGATTTTTTCCATCTTAATATTCATTATCTTTCTCAGTAATTCTAGAATATTATACTATTCTTATATTTATATTACCCTTGGCGTTATAAAATTCTAAAGAATTAGAAAAACCACTTTAAAAGAAATTTATTCTTTTAAAATTATTTCCAATTTTCATTTACTTTTCCCCCATGACAACCACTGTACTAGTCTCCCTTCTATTACTTGTTTTTTGCATTTTTCCACGATGCTGTCCGTTATTAATATTTACCTAAGCTGCGATGATTGCCAGCCTGGCAAAAAGCTAATAAAGTTGGCCAATTCGGAGCTGAAGAGCAGGTTTATGAGTTGCAACTCCTATTTATGCCTCTTTTTCGGCGCCACCCCGAAAACCTCTCGCCCACTTTCGGTTGCATATAATTTACGGCTTTGTTAATGACATTTAAACATTTTAAACACATGCGAAAAGGCCAAAATGGCAACAGCCACATTGACACATGGCCAAATACGCACAAACTACGCGAACAAACCAATTATAATTGATGTGGCACATTGCATTTATTTAATATTGTTGGCCATTGGCTTTTACACGTGTTCGCCGTATTAAATTATTATGTGTGAAAACAATTAATTATGCGGCAAACAAAAAACAGTGCCACAAATAACAATAAGGCCAGTGGACAAATGGCTCATTATGGAAATCGGGCTGTCGACTCACAAAAGTAGGCAGCGTTTTATTGAAAAGGCATTAAAAGCGGGAAATCCAGGGGGTATCAATCCAACATTGTTGATGCAACATTTCAACATTTGTTTTTAAGGTCAACATCATTAACCGGGGTAAGAGTCAGACGGCCGAGCAAATGGCAGGCCATAAATTATGGCTGAAAAAAGAGAGGTCCTGGCCAACTTTCAGCAGAAAAAGTGCAGCAATTAAATATTTGCTTAACTGCAAACGCACAGGGCTGCAACTTTTTGGCCACAACTCATTTGGTGGGCTGGCCCTTCAGCTTTTCCGCTTTTCCGCTTCCGGTTTGCCACCTTTTTGGCCGCCGCAAAATGGGGCAGGGAGCAGACAATTCAAATTGAAAAATTATATGCACTTTAGGTGTAGTCCTGCGAGTCCTGCTGGAGTGTATCCACACATCCTCGTCTTTTCGGCGCCGCTTGACGAACCGAGCGAGTGAAAAATTAATAGCAATTTATTTCCCTCAGCCCCTTTTATTTGCTCTCGTGTCTGCCCACTTTAAATGTATTTTTATGCTTTTCTGCGGACACTGTAAGGTCAAAGGTCTGCTGTTCGCTGCTGTTAAAAGTTTCAAAATTATTCGCAATTAAAGCAAACAAATTAAACAACTTTTTAAACAAAACCGAGTTACAATTTATTGCCAGTGGCTTTTGAATCACTTTTAAAATATTATAATTAGTTGCTTGAAATATTATTATGGGTTTATTTACAAGGCAAGAATATATTTAACAATGTTAAAAAAATAAAACATAAGCCTCTAGAGTAACAAATTTTTTCCTATACCTTTTGAATCATTTTCCAATGACTGTAATTAGTTGACAAAAATAAGAATTAATGCTCTTGATATTGAAGCGTTCTCCATTTCCACTTTAAAAATCCCCTTTCTTAAGATCATTTTTTATGTTTTCCATTCTCACTCCCTAAACACATCATCATCATCATCTTGGGAGTTCCTGTTTCCCCTGGTTTTCCCTGGATTTTCCTCCTGTCCTTTCACCTGCGCTTTTCCACATGTCAGTCGCTCGACTACAATTTAAACTTCTTGTTCTTGTTCCTTTCTTTCTTTCATTTTTAAGTTACTCCTGAGATTTATATCAACTTTCACCGTGAGGGCCATAAATTATGTGTCCCCGCTTGTGGCGCAGTTTCTCACATGGAAATTCCTCAGACGATTTTCCCCCGCCCACTTTTCAGTTTTCCCGCTGCAAGTCCCGTGGGTTTTTTCACTTGTGACGTTTATTGTGCGGTTGTTACTTGATATGTTTAATGAGAAATGCTCTGCGCAGGGAGAAAGGGAATTGAAGAGTCGTGGGGTGAAAGTACATGGTATGATATAGTACCAGAGCACTTGACATTTCATTGGCAGTCCGATTGTGAGAAGAGATTGCACTTGAAGATGACTCCTGAGAAAGTTTGAGATTGCAGTTCTAAATGGTTTTAATGGAAATTCTTCAAAGAGTGTCGTTGGATGTGGTTTTAAACGATTAAAAGATTACCATAACTGTAGCTTAAATAGCAAAAGCTTAGGGTAATTCCTATGAAAAGCATTTTTCAGAGAATCGTTATTAAACAGTAAATAAAAATTCCAGCTAAAGCTGATAACCAGACAACCCACATGACAGGAAATATTAAAGTTGTTTCTCTGAAAAAAATTGAAAAAACGCCAAGCCGCACTGAACAGTATTTCAAACAAATATTGTAATATATAGAATTAAGAGAAGCAGCTGCCAGCCCCAAAATCATATTTTTCCGCGACACATTTTCTATATTCCCAAGACGCTGGCTTTTATCAGAAGTGATAAATTTAATTTATTCCGCGGCGTCGCCTAATTTATGTTTTCCTAATTCGCCACTAATTTTGCAGGTCTCTAGTTGGCGGGAAAATCAGGGCATCGTCATTGAGAAAAACGTTTTATTTATAAACAATTAAATTTGATTTGTCGCTGCGTTGGCGAATGAGAATCGAAAGCGAAACGCACACAGCTGCAGATACAAAATTTCAGTTTTCCCGGGGCCCCCGATGAGCCCGAGATGATTTATGGAAAATTAATAATTTTAAATCCCAGCGCTGCTGCACATATTATTATATCTGCACAAAGCGAGTGAAACGGTCATAAAATATTGAGAAATGCGGCAGCGAAGTGACCGCAATGGCTAAAAGTATTTCCCTGTTAACTGCGCGTGTTAATCAATTTCCCAATGGAATTAATGCAAAGATGATCGCGCCGAGGAAAGTTAATGAACCCGAGGCCCGTCAGCAGTACGTAATAAAATCACTCATTGTCCTAGAGCAGAAGCAATAAATTAACCGATCTGAAGTCCGAGCTGCACCTCCGCATTATCAGGATTTCCAGAGATAACCCCTGACCTCTTCGGTTCCACGAGGTACTACGATTAGTTCTCTCTCTGTCTCCCCAGAAAAGGTACGTCAATGGCCCGACTTGGGGATTCATTCATTTCGAAACCCTAATCAGTAGTAGAGCTTATAGATGTACTATGCATGGCAGCTGCGGCGCGATAACCGAGAAATTGGGTCGCGTATTTCGCTATAAAGCAGTTAGAGATCAGACACTATTATATGTTCGCCGTATCCCGTCTCTTTTGTTTCATCTTTTTGCGCTAAACATTTCTTTGTGGCGTCGTTAATATTTTTTCTTTTTGGCCTGACCTCAAAAGCATCACATAGAGTAAAACAAAAACAGAGGCAGAAAACTTTGAGCTTGTCGCTTTTTGTTATTTTTGTTTACGCATTTCGTCAGGCGACAGGTGCGCCTCTATATCTATCAGATACTATATAGACAAGTCTGTGTGGACAAACCACAAACGGTGCGTTTCGAAAGTATAGGGGTCTGCCATGCTTTCGGGCCTTCAAAAATTTTTAATGTGGTCCTTCGAGCCGGATTATTGAAATCTTTACGAATATTGATTCGCAATAGAATATATCATTGAATATTTTTCTTAACTTTACTTACCTCCCTTAAAATCTATACACATCCGAGCCCCGCTGTATTTATGCATAGCATTCTCCCACATCATTCGGTATTTTGTCAACATTGTTTGCTCGCCTTTGGGGCTGACACTTTGAAAGCCGAACGATCTCCCTTTGGTCGATCATCTTTTACGGCCAATTACGCGCGCTATTATGGCCAAATTCCCATGTCACTCACTGCATAAAGCATTTTTCAGCCAGCAATCGCGTGAAATACGTTCACAAATTAGCTCTCTGTCTGCGACAAGACATTATCTTAGCGGGTCTCGTTCGTTTGATTTGTCTATTGGTGGGCCGCAGCATTTTCGACCGGGTCCAAAAGCAGGCGCCCACCTACGTTGCGTTATAATTATAGCCAAAAGGACTGTCGCCTGCAATTAACCAGGCTGAAATGCAACCGCTGGACCATCCGCACATGATGACGGTGCCCAGTACAATTAAACTTGACGAGCGCTTTGAAGACGACGTGCCGCTGTGTGTGGTCGCTGGTTTCCGGTTCGATATTTGGGAATTTCGAACTGATAACTTCTTGATAAGCAGCCAGCCTCCCGCTACGATATTTGTAATGTTTATTTTTGTGCTCACCTGATCTAGGTTATCTGCAAACAGAAAAAGAGATAGGTGTTAGCAATTGTTTTCGCTGGCTAGTCCACATTCCACTCGACACCCCGACCCTGATCCGCTTTGTTACGAGCGCACACGCGCCTCTTTGGAATCGATTCATAGTGATAGTGATAGTGAGGTGATAGTGCGGCCTTATCAGCTTTGAAAAACCCCGAATATTTGAGGTGAATAGTGAAAGTACACAGAGGAAAACAGATAGTGCTAAATGGGTGTAATACCGAAGGTGGTTAAAGCAAAGATTACAAATATCGATAAGTATCTTGCTCGAAGGACCTAAAGTTATCGAATAAAAAGGATTTCAAAGTAAAAATTACCCTACTCTGTGTAGTTTTTCGTGTGTACTCTGCCCAATCATTCCTTCCCCTTACACTTAGAACAGTTCAGATGAAATTTAATTAATTAAGCAGCTAGCAACATGTGGAAAAGAAGGGGCGAACGGAACGGACGTAGTACGCACGTGTGCGTGGCTTATCGACACTAATGCCACGGAGGTTAGACTGTACCTTGAACACTCTCGAGTGGTTTTAGCTTCCATTTCCATGTGCGCCGACCGTTCGCTTAGTGGAATCAATCAATTTTCAACTTTGGCTCGAGTGGCTCCCCTGAAAAACACTTGAGTCATGCACAAAGTCCGTCCATCCATCCATCCGTCCGTCCATCAGCCCACCAGTTAACCCCCGGGGGCGGGCATCTTCATGGGGCTTTGTTAAAGGTAGCTTCAATTGGCATTTCCGCTCGTCGCAAATATAATAATAACAAACTGTAACAACAAAAGCGCATAAGAAGAATCCGGCTGACGCATCACAAATGGAACTTACCTTTTGTAAACGTGTGCACTATATATGTACCGTATACAAGGTATTAAGTATGAGGTATCTGTGTGTAGTATCTGTGTGAGTGGTGTAGCTGGCGTATCTCACGGCTGCCATTTTCATTTCCATTTCGTTTGCGCTGCGCCTCGCTTTACATTTAATTGATAACGCCGACGAAACGACAACAAAGCCCGACCATTGTGAACCACTGCTGCGGTTTAATGTCCGCTCTGGGAGGTGTGTACAGTGCGGACTCGACGGACGGATCTAAGCTATCAAGTATCTATAAGATACAAGATACTTAATCAAATGTTTTTTTTTTAAATCTTAATAAGATTTCGGAACCTATGGGCTCTAGAAGGTTTTTTTGAAACAGAAATGAATAAATTGGATCCTGAAAGTGTTTCCCCATGCCAAGTTATCACTGTACCTTTTCTAGGTTCTGTGGTTCTACGATTTCTGATTCTAGGTAGGCGTACTGCGGCTTTCAACCCAACAACCTGATTACGTGAGTGCGTTAGAGCGGGATGCAGATAGGCCCCACTCCATGTGGGGAGATAACGGGTTTTCAATTGCGCTTGTGTGCGTGTGGGAGTGAGCCAACAGGTGGCCATTTGTGTATAATAGCTGTTTATCGCACTCACTCACCTGGCGAGCAAATGGCCACTTGAAAATGGGGTTTTCGGGGGTGACGTCACAGGTAAAACAACAAACGGAAGCGGAAATTGTTATGGCTGTCGAAACGAAAAACGAAATGAGGAAAAGCATTTTCCGTTTGTATTTTACCATCGGCAGCAGCACAAACAAATTAGAAGGCCTGCGCTATAAATGTATTATTTTTCCCCAACACGCCTAAAACAATAAACACCGTGTCACGTTGGAGAACAAACTAATTATAATACATTATAATAGTTTTTTTGGAGTGATCTCATCACGAGTGGTAAATTGGTTACGAGTTGATGATAATGACTAATGGCGCAATGTGCGTTAATTGAACCTTATGAGTAACAGTAAACGTAACCCCACAGGAGGAGTCAAAGTTAATAAATGTACAGTGGGCCTTGTAAATAGTTAAGAATTTTCATGTACTATGAAAATTGTTGTGACTACGACTAAAAATACTCCGAGTATTCTTAATTCTTTTCAAAGTGTATGTATTACACTTTAAAATTATAAACTATTATAAAGTAATATACGATGTAGAGAGAAGTTAAAAAATATTACCTTAAGTGAGTGATTTCCCAGAATTTTTTCAAAAATATTTTCCTTTGAATTCCGATAACGATCTGGAATGTTATAAGCTTTCCAACAATAACAACTGGAAGCGAAGGTGAAATAGCAATAAATGGAAAGTTCAACGGCTGAGCGGTAAACAACACACACACACAGACGCGATAGAAAGTGGGGTTGGGGGCAACAACACGTGTTGCCATCTGTCCGCCAAAGTACCGCAAATCTTTCATCGCAGCCGCTAAGTGGAAAAGTGGAAGGCGGCGAAGACGGGAAGGCGGGAAAAGCGGCGCTGCACTTTCGTTTTCCTTTACATTTCCATTTCCACCTTTGAGGATTTGATGCGTTCAATTTGTTGCCAAACAAATCAAATCAAAGCACAAACAAAAACGCCCCCCGAAAATCGGAACAAAATTTGATTAGCATCAGCTGTTGAAACATTTTGGTGAGATGCATTTTTGTTTGTTTTAGGGCCTTTGTTTTGTTTTGTGTGTCGCAATTTTCCAATTGGAGTTGATTTTTTATTGGAATAACAGCTGAGTGCAGCTTTTGTTGTTGTTGTTTTTGTAGTGACAGTCCACCTTCACTGGAAGTAGCGCCATCTCTTTCCCACGTCCGCGTTCTTTTGTCGTCCTCCGCTTCATTCCGTTCTTCGCGCTCTTTCGTGCTGGGCGCGTTTCGCGTTTTTCCGCTTTTAATTGTAGTTTTTAATTAAAGTTAGTGCGTATTTTAATTCGAAAACGTTTGCACAATTCCCCAGATACCGGAATATCACAAAATATCTGCTTTTACGACTTGGGAGCACACAAAAAGCAAAAAATGGCTCATTTTCGGCGGTCGCTTTTGATTTGGCCTGCTTTGTGGTCGCTTCGCTTGCCTTGAAACAAATTAGAAAGCCATTAAATTTAAAACAAATAAATACGCGTGTTGTTTTAAACAGTTTTTATTACCTGTGCGTTGGTGTTTCGTTTTCCATTTCACTTTTTCGGCCCCAAATCCCATCAACAACAATGTCGGCGGCCGCTTTTCTGCGCGCTGCTTCTTCTTCGCTGGAAAAGGTAACCGGGGAAAACAAAAGATCGTAGAATGAGAGAAGTAGAAGAGGGGGCAGCAAAGCTGTAAACTAGAGATGACAGCTTTGATAACCGAACTATCGGATGCTCGATAGTTTGAGCAGTTATTTAGATTTGAATAATAAATAGATAAGTTATTTGAAAAAGTTCCAAAAACATTGAAATAGCTGTCTTAGTACAAGCAATTTTATAAGAAAATAATAGAAAGCTAGTCCTAATCAAAACAGTTTCTCCAGCCTATCTTAAAGATTACCTTTTCACCCGCCTAGAGCCAAAGTTATCAACAAACTAAAATTTAAATCTTGCCTCGTACATAAACCCGCTATAACCCCATCTTATCTGATCCCTTACAGACCTGCCGGATCTGCCACAAGGCCTTCGCGAATGTGTACCGCCTCCAGAGACACATGATCAGTCACGATGAGAGCGCGCTCCTGCGGAAGTTCAAGTGCAAGGAGTGCGACAAGGCCTTCAAGTTCAAGCACCACCTAAAGGAGCACGTGCGGATCCACTCCGGCGAGAAGCCGTTTGGCTGCGACAACTGCGGCAAGCGGTTCTCGCACTCGGGCAGCTTCTCCTCGCACATGACTTCCAAGAAGTGCATCAGCATGGGCCTGAAGCTGAACAACAATCGTGCTTTGCTGAAGAGACTAGAGAAGAGTCCCGGCTCGGGGTCGTCGGGATCCCGCCGGTCGCCCTCCGATCACGGCAAGGGAAAGCTGCCGGAACAGCCTTCGCTGCCGGGATTGCCCAATCCCATGATCTATTTCGCCAGCGATGCCCAGGGTCAAGGTGGAAATGCGCCACCTGCGCTCTTCCCACCTTTCCACCCCACGAACTACATGAACGCTGCCCTCCTGTCCTTCCCCAACAACTTTATTGCAGCAGCAGCCGGCCTGGATCCTCGGGTTCATCCCTACAGCATCCAGAGATTGCTGCAACTCTCGGCAGCTGGTCAGCAGCAGCAGAGGGAGGAGGAGCGAGAGGAGCAGCAGCAGAGGGAGGAGGAGGAGACCCCCGATGAGCCCAAGCTGGTGATGGACATCGATGAGCCGGAGGCCAAAGAAAGGGTTCCCACGCCAGGAGCCGCGGAGGAAGACACATCCATCAAGCGGGAGGAGAGTAGGGAAGCCTCTCCCGCTCCAGAGAGCTATCTGCCTTCCTCCCAGGCCATCAAACAGGAGCAGGAGCCCCTGAATGTCACAGAAGAACCTCAAATCAACCTGGAAGAACCACCCCAGGCAGAGCAACCCGCTGATCTGCGCTGCAGTCGCTGCTCCAAACAGTTCAATCATCCCACAGAACTGGTGCAACACGAGAAGGTCCTCTGTGGTCTGATCAAGGAGGAGTTGGAGCAACATTTCCAGCAGCAGCAGCAGGCAAACTCTTTCGCCTTGGCCTCCGCCAGCGAAGAAGACGACGAGGACGAGGAGATGGAAGAGGAACCCAGGCAGGAGAGTGGCGAGCGCAAGGTCCGTGTGCGTACGGCCATTAACGAGGAGCAGCAGCAGCAGTTGAAGCAACACTACTCCCTGAACTCGCGACCCAGTCGCGATGAGTTCCGAATGATCGCAGCCCGCCTGCAGCTAGATCCACGGGTGGTTCAAGTCTGGTTCCAAAACAATCGCTCCAGGGAGCGCAAAATGCAAAGCTTCCAGAGCAACCAAGGTGCCACACCATCGGCGGCCAATGAATCGCAGACGTCGTTAACCCGCGAGGATCAACCTCTTGATTTATCTGTGAAGAGAGATCCCCTCACACCCAAAAGTGAGAGTTCGCCTCCGTACATAGCTCCTCCGTCGGGAGAGGCCCTAAATCCCGAAGCCATCAACCTGAGCAGGAAGTTCTCCACATCGGCATCGATGTCACCAGCCTCGATTTCACCCTCATCCGCGGCAGCCTTGTATTTTGGAGCTGCCCCGCCGCCTTCGCCGCCGAACAGTCAACTGGATGCCACTCCTCGAAGCGGCCAGCCCTTCCCGGGATTGAACCCCTACATGCTGCCCATGCCGCTGCCCATGGAGGCGCTGTTCAAAATGCGTCCGGGTGGCGAGTACGCTCCGAACCATCCCCTGATGAACAGTATTAAGCTGCCCGACTACCGGGGCACCAGTCTGAGTCCCGGAGGATCGGAGAAGCGGTCGTGGCGGGACGACGACTCGCGCATCTCGCACGAGGATGAGTTCGGGGGCGGTGTGCTGATGCCGCCGAAGGCCAGGCGCGGCAAGGCGGAGACCCACGGGCACGCAGGCGATCCCGACCTGCCCTACGTGTGCGATCAGTGCGACAAGGCCTTCGCCAAGCAGAGTTCGCTGGCGCGACACAAATATGAGCATTCCGGTGAGTTGACTTGAGTCCTAGTTGCCCTGGATCCTTTACTAACTATGATCTTCTATTCCCAAATCAGGTCAACGACCCTACCAGTGCATGGACTGCCCGAAGGCCTTCAAGCACAAGCACCACCTCACGGAGCACAAGCGTTTGCACAGCGGCGAGAAGCCCTTTCAGTGCTCCAAGTGCCTGAAGCGATTCTCGCACTCGGGCAGCTACAGCCAGCACATGAACCACCGGTACTCCTACTGCAAGCCCTACAGGGAATAGGTAAGCGACACCTCAGTGCCGCCCACCTGCCAACCAGGAGCCAATCCCTCCGTTCCGCCCTCGACGGCGGCGCCCAGCAATCGTGGACGTCGTCGTGGAGTGCAGGTTCCGGCGGGGAATTCCCAGTATCCGCCGCACCATCAGCATCCCCACTCGCATCCGCATCTGGCGGCCATGGCTGCCTTTCAGCAGCAGCAACAGCATCACAGACTCTCCTGGAACGGAGCTGGTGTGATGCTACCACCGCCACCCAATCATCAGTCACATCGTCCGCCGGCTCCACATCCACCGCCATTGCTCTCTGGATCCGGATTCGGTCAGCCGCCGACGGCGCAGTTCTTTCACCACCACGCGGGTTTGCTGCCTCCGCCGCCGCCGCCCCCGCCGCAGACCACGCCCACGTCTACGCCCGCCTTCGACTTCTTCAATGCCAAAATGTTTCCAAACTAAGCTAGGAAAGCTAAGCCAGCACTTACAGGCTGTACTTAAACCAACAGACGAACAGAAAATCTCAAAATGTGCAGGAACACACACTGAAAAGCAACACCCCCCCAAGAAATGCACTTTAGACAGAGCCAGAGTCGAAAAAGAAAGCAAGAGAGATATTTTTTATAGCCATATAACCAGGAAAATGAGAAGCCGTAGTTGAAAAACCTTTCGTTTGAGCGAATTTATTATTTTACAATGTTGAAACCGCTTTGTTTTTAGTATTTTATTCATTTACCTTACCGCCTAAGTTGGAGATAAGGGCTAAATATTTTTGTTTGGCCCCTCGACTCGTTTAAAGATATCGTTTTATCTATTTTTTTACGCATTAATGTTTTAGTTCTTAGTTTTAGGAGCTGGAGAAACCAGTACCAAGTGCTGCAGAATACTCAAAACACTCAAATCGTTACGAGCCCACTCCTGAATGGAATAAATGTATATTTTCTACGATAATGTATTCTTTTAAGCTGTAACTTTTAGTTTTCGGTTAAGCCAGGCTGGGTTGACATTGCAGACCAGCTCGAAGGGAATTTTCCACCCAACAACCTCCGGACCAAACATAAAAGCCAAGAAAATGAGAGAAAATACAAGCAGACAATACCGAAGCAAAACCAGATACAAAAGTATTAAGCAGCGAAACTGTATTAAAAGCCACCACATTTTAAAGTCCACGCCCACACCCGCACCCGCCCCCATTTCGTATGTAGTTTATGTTAAATGGAAAACCCACCGCTTGCCGCGCGTTTCAAGCCCTCTTACTTAAGGAAAACTACCCCGAATCTTTCTCAAACTACGCTTTAAATTTCCCCTCTTTGAAATCAATCGCGAAATGAGCACAAAACACCTACAAGATCATTCCATTTGGCCAGAGCCGCGCCCCAGAAAAAGGTGCAACTCATGCATTTAAGGCCTCCGGCTGCCGCTTGCCACTCGACAACCCACTAAATCTAAAATCTAAACCTAATGCTAAACTAAACTAATGCTAACTAATATTTAATATATACGAAACGAAAACAAACACTTAATTTGGCCTTATTAAAGATTATTTAACGATTAAAGAACGTTTCAGAATATTCAAAGGAAAAACTAGCATGTAAAAACGAAAAG